AACATCATATCAAGTCAATTACCTAGGTACTACTTTATGTATAGTAAAAATATATAACCTATATAATTTTTTTAAATTAAATAATATGTTCTTGYGGCGAATGTAGACTTAGTATCAACTTCTTGGATTATTCAGTATAATATAAATAATAATGAAATATGCCAACTATATAATGATTTTGATTTTTTACTACTTGTTAGTTGTCATTATAATAAATACCTACCTAATTTGTATTATGATGAATTAAAATCACAAATTAGGAATTTTTTTAAATTGTTTTAATGACTAATTTATTATTCTAAAGGAGTAAAAGGCATAACCTAGTACTTGTACAYATGGCTACTAAACTTGTAAAATAAAATAAAACAAGCGTTTGAATAGATACCTATTATAAGTTCACGAGTGTATCGATGTATAGTTTACCTGTAAGCGACGGACATGCATTGGAAAAGATTATTTAATGAAGTTTTTGAATTGTTGATGTCAGCCCGCGTCAGTATTTCTTCAGACACGGGCACGGCCACTTGATACTCGTCGTCCTGAGCTTCGGCTTCAAAACTCGAGACCATAAAATGTCCCGAATGTATGGTCTCCTTGGTGGCGTTCGTCGTTTGGGACAACATAATCACGAGTATAGATCGTATTTGTTTTATGTATTATTCAAAACCATGTCAGTCATGTCAACGACGCAAACAGCATAAAGTAAAAACAAAAAAATAGGAAAAAATCGGTATCGACGGAGACGTGACGTTAGGTATTACATATTATTATTAAATATTATTACAATGCTAAGCGCCGTATACAACAACAGACAACTCACATAACATTCTACTAGAAAATAGCTGATAAACTGACTAAATGATGACCGTGCCGTCTGGGCTAGTAAGTTGTAGGCTTGCGCAACGTTTACRTTCGATGATTAAACGTGTTTGAACTCGTTACGCACGTTCGACGTACGGCAAAAACGTTTCTCAAAAAAAAAAACATTACATGGGTAACGGGTGATACGATTATTATTAAAATAATATATTATATTATCGTAACAGGCAATAAAACGAATGAAAACTATTTTCGTGGTACCTACGTATATCATTTTGTGATACCCGCCAACGCCGTAAATTTTCGTAGATAAGACACACATGCGCGTTTTTGATTACGATAAATATAAAACACCTGTTGCGATCCTCACTACCAAAGAACAACACTCGGTAGAAGAAAACATAAGCGCGCGATGTCAATAACTATGTCATTGAACCGCTCGAATATTTGCGTTTGTACCATGAATTAAGATATTATACACAATTGAGCATAAGATTTAGATAATATCTACATAGTCACACTTTCAACACTCCACTATCAAGTACCTACATATTATATATCTTTATTACATTAATAGGTACATAGTATTATAGTAACTATTATGTATACAGAGTGATTCACCAAGCATGCCCATCCCCCTTTTTGTTCTTTAATAATAGTTATCCAAAATCTGATTTTTAGAATCATTAAATATACTGAAAGRCCTTATTTTAAAATTCTTGAGATTTTTATACCACTTAAGGGATGTCCAATGGTGATACAAAYTTTTGCTTTTCAAACGAGAACCCTAATTTTTTTACTAGAAATTATTTAGCGGATAATTTTTTGAGAATTTTGATGTATTGAAATCAAAATTCTAATGAGTAGTTTTTGAGTTATTTAACATTGTGCTCTAAAAATAAGAGGTCCATTGTCCATTGTATAGGTTTATAAGATATGTGGTCTATGATCAGAGTGATCAGACTCGTAGCCTGGATTTTATCTTGGGAGGTCGAAATAAATTTTAT